TTTTATAGGAGTTTTTTTAATATATTTGAGATTTTAACTTCTTATCAGATATATAGTTTGCAAATATTTTCTCCCATTCGGTGGGTTACCTTTTCTTCTGTTGACAGTATCCTTTGTTGTACAAAAGCATTCATTTTTTTAAATGTTTATTTTTGAGAGAGAGAGAGAGAGAGAGAGAGAGAGAGAGAGAAGGGCAGAGAGAGGGAGACAGAGAATCCAAAGCAGGCTCTCCACTGACAACAGAGAGGCCCTTGTGGGGCTCAAACTCATGAACCATGAGATCGTGACCTGAGCTGAATTCGGACACCTAACCGACTGAGCCACACTAGACACCCCAAAAGCTTTAATTTATATGTAGTCCAATTTATCTATTTTTTCTTTGCCTGTGCTTTTGGTGTCATAGCCAAGAGTGCATTGCACAATTCAATGTCATTAAATTTTCCCCCTCTGTTTTCTTATAAGAGTCTTAGAATTTGGCTCTTACCCAATTAGGGTTCTTCTCATATTCAAGTAAACAACAGGAATACAACTTGCAAGCAGGGCAGAAATGGTGTTCCTCTTTAGTGGGATCAGTTTTCACAGAAGTCCATGAAGCAGTTTATTTAGCAGTTTGGGGACAACTCAGATACAAGAAGATGAGATCTAGTATATTTTGTGATAGCACATAGACATAGCTTCCAGGGTCCCCACAAGAGACATGCCAGATTACAAGTCAGGGAAATTCATGGGCACCTGGGTGGTTCAGTCAGTTAAGTATCTGACTCTGGCTCAGGTCATGATCTCGCAGTTCGTGAGTTCCAGCCCTGCTTCAGGCTCTTTGCTGACAGTTCAGAGCTTGGAGCCTGCTTCAAATTCTTGGAGCCTCTCTCTCTCCCCCTCCTCCCACTCTCACTCTGTCTTTCTTTGTCTCAAAAATAAATAAACATGAAGAGTCAGAGACATTCAAAGTATGGTGCTTTTCATAGGAGCTATTTACATATAGTATATTTATCATTTATTCATAATTCATTTATAGCCTTTCCTAGTCTGGATACAACTTATCATCATTTTTACCACCAGCAATGTTGACATTGTTACCTTTAACACCCTCCTAGTAGAATAGAGTGTGAGAATTAACCATCGATCAGTTTTTCAAGCTGAGGAAAAAGGTTCTTTATAGGTTTACTTGTTCTGGCTATTTTATATAACTGGAATCATAGAATATGTGGCCTTTTGTAATTGCCTTCTTTCAGTTAACATAATGTTTTCAAAATTCAGCCATGTTATAACATGTACTTTCTTCCTTATTTCTGGCTGAATAATATCCCATGGCAAGGATATACCACATTTTGCTTACTAATTTGTCAGTTTGGTAGCATTATGAAAAATAATACTGTTATGAACACTCATGTGCAAGTTTTTGTGTGAATATATGTCTTCAACTGTATTGGGTATATACCTGTAAGAGGAAGTAGAATCGCTGAGTCACATAGTAACTGTATGTTTAACACTTTTTTTGTAGTGGGCTTTATTTTTTTTTTACTTTTTATTTTTTTTAATTTAAATTTTAGTTGACATACAGTGCAATATTGGTTTCAAGAATAGAATTCAGTGATTGATCACTTACATATAACACCCATTGCTTATCACAAGTGCCCTCCTTAGTAACCATCGTCTATCTAGCCCATCTCCTACCCACCTCCCTCCGTGAATCCATAGTTTGTTCTCTGTCATGAAAAGTCTCTTATGGTTTGTTTCCCTCTCTTCTCTCTCACCCCCCCCTTCCTATATGTTCATCTGTTTTGTTTTTTAGATTCTACATAGGAGTCTATGGTATTTGTCTTTATCATATGGTATTTGTCTTTTTCTGATTGACTTATTTCTCTTAGCATAATACATTCTAGCTCCATCCACATCATTGCAAATGGCAAGATTTCATTCTTTTTGATGGTTGAGTAATATTCCACTGGGTACATATACCAAATATTCTTTTTTTTTTTTTTTTTTTTTTAAACAGCGGCTTATTTTAAATTTTTTTTTCAACGTTTATTTATTTTTGGGACAGAGAGAGACAGAGCATGAATGGGGGAGGGGCAGAGAGAGAGGGAGACACAGAATCGGAAACAGCCTCCAGGCTCTGAGCCATCAGCCCAGAGCCTGACGCGGGGCTCGAACTCACGGACCGCGAGATCGTGACCTGGCTGAAGTCGGACGCTCAACCGACTGCGCCACCCAGGCACCCCCCAAATATTCTTTATCCATTCATCAGTTGATGGACATTTGCACTCTCTGCATGGTTTGGTTATTGTTGATAATACTGATACAAACATCGGGGTGCATGTACCCCTTCAAATCTGTATATTTGTATCCTTTGGGCAAATACCTAATAGTACAATTGCTGGATTGTAGGGTAGTTCTATTTTTAATTTCTTGAGGAACCTCTGTACTGTTCTTTGGCTGCACCAATTTGCATTCCCACCAGTAGTGCAAAAGGGTTCCCCTTTCTTTTTTTTTTTTTTTAAGGGTTCTCCTTTCTTTGCATCCTCACCAATACTTGTTGTTTCTGGTGGTGTTAAATTTAGCCGTTCTGACAGGTGTAAGATGGTATCTCATTGTGGTTTTGATTTGTATTTCCACGATGATGAATGATGTTGACCATCTTTTCATGTGTCTGTTATCCATCTGGGTGTCTTCTTTGGAAAAATGTCTATTCATGTCTCCTGTCCATTTCTTAACTGAGCTGTTTGGTTTTTGGGTGTTGAGTTTGATAAGTTCTTTATAGATTTTGGATATTAACCCTTTCTCAGCTATGTCATTTGCAAATATCTTCTCCCATTCTGTAGGCTGCCTTTTAGTTTTGTTGATTGTTTCCTACACTGTGCAG